TTGGGGTGTTGCTGTACTTGTCCGTTCGGACTCCTTTCCGTACGTCTCCCCTCGTGTCGACCTTCAACGCCCTGGCTGCGAGTCTGTGTGGCTTGAACTTGGCTCCCCCTCTACTCAATCTCAGAATCCCATCTTACTATGCTGCATGTATCGACCACCCTCACAGAGCACAATGCAATTGTCTTTTGTGACATGTTTGCAGTGTCTGCTCTAGGATTGTAGGACAGCCGGGTACACGTGTACCTGGCGCAACCATTTCAACCAGGTTGGAGCCGGATGCATGTACCTGGCGCTGTCTCACCAGCCGAGTCAACTCCATAACTGGTTGGTTGGTTTATTTTAATTCGGACAATAAACGGGAACTATAATGTAGGCCAATGATATAAAGGCGAATGGATAAGCCGCATTTAGAAAAGAGAGGACAGGAATTAGAAAATTACGAAAGAAGAAGAAGTACTGGAGTCTGACACATACAAGCCATGTAGTCAGTCCTTTCAAAGTTCGAAAGTGTAAAGTACCAATCGGGTCACAGGTGACCCGGTACTATATTTTCAACCGGGTTCAAGCGCCGCCCAACCGGGTGGATTACCCGGCTCACCCGGCGCTGGAGCAGACACTGGTTTGTTGAGGCATTACAGTCAGTCTGTTTAGATTCTTATGATCTGTTAGTGACTGGCGATTTCAACGCCCACAACTCAAGCTGGTGTCCCACCGATTCTACCTCGAAGGCTGGTGATCTCCTTAGCACAGTATTTGCTGCTCTTGAGCTCCACCAGATGGTTGACTTCCCCACTCATTCCTCGCCTAATGGCTCTGTTTAGTGTCTGGACTTGGTGATCACCAACCGACCACGCCTCGTGCGCTCAATTGATCAAGCACCTCCCTTGGGTATGTCTGACCATATACAGATTGTTTGCACTTTATGTTACGCCCCTATTTCGAACTACTTCCCCAACTCTTCCACTGGTCCTCTCTCTTCACTGTATCGCTTCAAACAAGTACCTTCGCACCTTTGGCAATTAATCAACGCTGATTTAGCTGGCTACAACTGGTCCTCTCTGAACTCGTACACTGATGTTAATGACGCACTTCATCACTTTGATTGTGAGCTCCAGTCCGCCTTCCGTCGTCACCTCACCTCATTCGGAGCCACCCACACTGTGACATCTCCACGACCCCGCAGGCAATCTCCACCATGGGTTACTGCTGAGCTCAGGTCTGCTGTAAAACGCAAGCGTGATCTATATAGTGTGTACAAAAAATATCCGACAGCAGTAAATCATGCAGCTTATACCCGACAAAGGAATGCTGTAAAGCACCTGTCTCGGCAAGCACATCGTCAATATACGCTCCATCCAAGCATCACTAACGTAACCGAATCGACCTACACTCTTTCAGTTTGTGCGAGCACAGCGGCACACTTCCGGCCGTGTCATGCCCCAAACGATGATAGCATTCGACGGTACGGTCGCCACGTCCCCCAAGAGCATAGCTGATGTTCTGAACACTCAGTTCACCTCATTTGGGCTACCTGATGATCCTTCGCGGCGCATTCCCCCTTTGTCCCAGTCGCCTTTCATATCTGTTCCGTTCCGTAGAATCACTGTCACTACGTTTCAAGTTCGGAAATATCTGAAGCGCCTGAAATGTGGAAAGTCTCCCGGCTCAGATGGGATCTCGAATGAAGTGCTGCAGTCTCTTGCACCATCAATAGCCTATCCTCTCGCCATTATTTTTAATATTTCATTTCGAACTGGTACATTCCCACAGGATTGGAAATCCGCCATCGTGACACCGCTTTACAAGAATAAAGGCTCCCCTGCTTGCCCGGCAAACTACCGCCCCATCTCTCTGCTGCGCACAGTTTCCAAACTTTGTGAGCGTATTGTATTCGATTCCCTCTACCTGCACATCGCTCCGGCTCTCTCACCAGATCAGTCGGGATTCTGCCGTGGTGACTCAACTCAATACCAGGTGACTCGACTTGTACAAGACATAGCGACAAAGAGGAACTGTGGGGAGCACGTGGGAATGGTGTTTTTCGACTTGGCTAAGGCATTCGACACCGTTTGGCATCGTGGCTTACTTGCCAAGTTGGAGGTCACCTTCCGGGTAGAGGATGCTGCCTTGCGTTGGATATCCTCGTATCTGTCTGCTCGTTCTCAGGCTGCTCGCTTGTCCTATTTCTTGTCTGATCCCCTCCCTGTAACGTCTGGAGTGCCCCAAGGTTCCATTCTGGGTCCTTTGTTATTCTTGCTTTACGTTAATGACCTACCTTCAGTTGTCCCCGATGTTAGTTTGTATGCGGATGACACTGGCCTTATCTGTTCTGATTCCTCCCCTGCACAATTACTCCTTACCATGCAGCATCGCATCATCAGCACTGTCATGTGGATGCAAACGTGGAAACTCCATCCCAATTTAGACAAGACAGAAGCCATGTATATTTCTTCATCCCCTCCTGATCCACCATTATACTTCCCTGACTCGACTATGCCTATCCGTGTTGTTACTCAGCACAAACATCTAGGTGTGATGTTTGACTGCAAACGCTCTTGGGCTGCACATGTCAACTGTGTATGCAAGCGATCCAGTTCAGCATTAGGGGTACTACAACCACATTGCACTCATTTGCCCATCCAGTGTAAACAATTATTTTATCAGTGCTATATTCTCCCTATATTCGACTATTGCGATACTGCTTGGTGTGGCCTTTCTGACACAACTCTGAACCAATTAGGAGTCCACCATAGATTTTTACTTAAAATTCTTTACAACAAGGATCGATGTTTTCCTTCGGATGCCCTTTATCGACTTGCACACACTTCTCCTCTCTCCTTTCGTCATAAGCACCATCTCTGTAAACTGGTTCGTAAAATATTTCTTCATAAAACCCCTTCACACATGATGAAGTACAATAATTTTCGACAAGCTCAACCCGTAACGCGCTCATCCTGCCTCTGGTTAAGTCAGCCCAGTATCTAAAGTCCCCTTTGTTTTCCGGCTACTCTCATTGGTTATCATTACCATACGGTCTGAAAACTTGTTCTTCTATTGGTCAGTTTAAAGATCTACTATCACAACTGAACTAGACGCAATAATTATCATCGAAGAACATTCTCGTATACCTGGGTGATGCACGAATTTTGATAGTGCTCACTTCCGTTAATCGTTTTTCTTTGTAATTTTCCATTCATTTTCTGCTTTAATTCATATTTGCTTTGTTTTCCTAGCTTACTATTGCCGTGGCTAGCTCAACGCCCTTGTCTCAGGGGATTCTGTCCCTGCATTAGCTATGCTTGTCACATGCTATGAGATTGTGTCTAATAATAATAATATTAAGGTAATGCCTGGAAAAATTAGGAGAATTGAAAAATTTATAACATCCCTTTTCTTTTTTTGCCGTCATCAAGCCAAGGCGGTAGACGGTGTCGTCTTACCCTCGACCGTACCTGTCCCGTTCCTATCCCGTACCTGTCCCGTACCGTACCGTACAATCAAAGACGACTGGCCACAATGCATATTCAAATAGGGCTTTCAAATACAAGATTATAACGTGAAGCAACTTGGAAGAATAGGTATGTATGTGAAGTGTATCGGGGGAGGCATGCAGGGCGATAGTGCGGGTTCGAATCCCAGGTTATGTCTAAAAACCAAAAGTAGAAATATATAAGAGTTTATAACATCCCTATGCTTTTTTTGTCTAGTTCATCAAGGCAAAAAAGCATAGCGTAGGGCCCTGAGCTTCCAAGCTCTCTCGTTTTACTAGGGGAGTTCCAACAGGCGTTGCCTTTTTACTGGGAACCCTAGGTGAATATTTACCATGTGTACATACAGAGTAAGAGACTTGGCCTGACGGCAGTCCGTGGGAAGAGCATTCCATCTGTCTGCCGCCAGGAAAGAAATAGAACGCAAGTCATATTGCGTAGAAACAGGCATGAAATGAATGGAGTTCGATATTGTCGTTTGTATTTTACACCATCGCCCCAGGGATTGCCGGCTATTTTCTACCATAATCTCTATTTGAGAGCCAATGCCCTAAAAGTACCGTTGCCTTTTCCATTATTGTCGTACCCTAAAAGTCATCTATGCCATTGGAATGTCTCACAAATGATCCTTAACGTCATTTCTCCTGTGATTTTCTCGCTCCACATAATTCTGGCATACACAGAGCCATAGACAGCAATAGGGACAACACACAAAGTGAAGGGTAGTTGGCCGCAGCCAGATGTAGTTGGCCGCAGCCAGATGTGAACCGGATAACGATTGAGGTAAGGAAGCAAGGACTGAGAACAGAGTGTCTCAGATAGAATAGGCGTGCCAGTGGATAGCAAAAATAGGCCATGATGCAGAACCACTCGGGACCGTCAGATTAATTTTCCTGGACCAAGCCAGGAGGGAAAACCCTCGCGCCGACGGACGCATTGGTGAGGGAAAAAACCTGGTGTATATCCCCAATGGCGATTAGGCATCATGTAGGCATGGCAAGCACATCACGGCGAACAGTGATAAAAAGCAATAATAATTTGCACAGAAATGAAGGGTGGGAGGGCAGGGACACTGGTGAGACTCAAAACTGACTGAAGAAGTCAGGAAAAGAAGTGACAATAAAGAACACACCAGATCCCATATTTGCAGCTGAACATATTTCGCGAGAAATCATTTCTCGCCTATCTCGCTGCGCTCGGCCGGCGAGAAATACATCACTGTTGCAGTTTCTAACTCAGCACCTCCCCCTCCCCCACATTTCTTATCTCGGACACCACTACCAACATCACCTATCCTGTCCGATGGTTGGCTCTGCAGCCAGGAATATCACTGCTGCAACATATTGTAAGTAGTGTTTCGTCAGTGTGAACTTGTGAGAGGCGATTCCTAGACATTTTCAGTGACCTACTGGTCCCACCATGTACATGTACTTGTACGTGATTTTGTGCGATGATTTGTAAGACCTGCACTAAAATTAATTAGGATAATGTTTTCGATGAATGTGTACTGACCTCATTGAGTTCATTGAGTTGGTTGAGTTCATCTAGCGCCTGCTAGTACTCCAGCCGGCTCAAAGCCTCTGTGCAATTGGAACACACCAGTACAAATTCACTATCCACGTTGCAAGTACACTGCTTCTATACAGTACCCGTATACCAAGCAGACATACCAAACCGTACTTTGAGTTCCTTTTTTCAAAATCCCTGACTCTGTACGACTTGTCGGCGGAGATCGAATTCTTGTAGCTGAGCTCGAGGACTAAAGAAAAGTACGATCTTGCAGCTTCATAAGACGACCACTGCCGAGCATCAATGTTCATGGGACCACCATGGATAAATGAAGTCATCGACTGAACGACATTAAAGGCCATGGCGTTCATCGACACCTGAATGCTTTGTGGAGCACTGACGATTCAATCAGCGCACACTGGCCAAACCTCCAGGCTCCAGGTACATGACTGCACTTCACGTAGCAGGAACTGCTGCAGCTGATTTACAGCTGTGTGTACGCAAGCAGGACATGCCACATGCAAGCAGAGGAGCTGCTCATCGTGACAGCCCTGTCTACATGGTTAGAACGAATCGTGCAGCACTGAACAGTGCAGCACTGAACAGTCATAAGGAAACATCCTATTGTCTTATGCCCGGCTCACACTACACTTGTAGGCCGATTTTTCGGCCCATGCTCCAACACCGACTCCGAGAATTATTATGAAATCGAAGGACTGTGCATTTGTCGGAGCGGTCCGTCGGAAACACGCAGCTGTTCACACGCACCGTGGTGAGCATTTTCTGTGGAAATGAGCGGAAATGAAAAATTTACACTAGCTACAAGGCTAAAGGCGTGAAACGTCTAGCCTCTAGTACCGATCCAGTGCAGCCAGCTCACCATCTGCACCCACACTCTCTGCTGTCATGGCTCAACCAAGTGCAAGCACTAAAAATAATTTAATTGACCGACCTTTAGGCCAAGTATTGACCAGTGGATACATTTAGAAAAGCGATCCTGTCAGCTTTTCTATTATTGTGTTCACATGGCAGAAAAAACGACACCGCTATGCTACGTAAGTTTTTACGTAAGGTGCTCGGTATTTCACTTAGGGCCGTTTCACACGAGGTATACATGGCTTTTCACGAATGGACGTTCTAGGCACAGTACACAGCGCGTGATTTCACACGAGTGTCGCAACATGCTTTTCAAGCAGCAGTTGCCATGGCAGCTTTGACCTGCCTCGCACAGAAGTCGTAAAATACGGAATCCGCACGCGAACGCGGGAGTTTTGAACACAAAATAATAATAATAATTATTAGTTCGGCAAGGAGATGTTCTCTCCCTGATTCTCGTTTTCTTTGATCGCCACAAGGAGAGAAAGATGAACGGACGAGAGAGGTTGCAAAGGATGGCGAGGCGTAGAAGGACTGCATTGCCCTCGCTTGTTCAAAGTGTAATTTCAAGTTTTTCTCTGGATTCAACCATCCTGAGCGGAACGCAGCATTGAGTTTCTCGGCGATCTCCCTTTCCCTCACAATACGCTTCACCATCTGGCCACTTTTTGACTTTTGAAAGTCGGCCCACAACTCAATAAGTCTAGCCTCCAGGTCATCAGAGAATATTTGGCGAGGCATTGTCCGAAACGGAAGGCACAACCAGCAACCAGCAATGAAAGCAAACGGAAGCAAAAAAAGCAAACACGACGACAGATCACAATGCAAGGAAAACGAAGTTTGTCAGTAGAACGCTGGGTACATCCTGCTTTCTACACCCCTCCTGGTCTTGCTGAAAACGTACACGATGCGTTTCACATTTCGCGCCAAAAGTGCTCCATCTCCTAGGGAACATAACCGAAAACGTGACATGTACGCGATTTTGTACCTCGTGAGAAACGGCCCACAGGCTACATAAGTTTCTACGTAAGGCCGTCATCACACCACGTTCTCCGACTCCCGTTTACGTCTACGTCTATGGTGAAAAAACCAAAACGGGTGGTCGTGTCATCAGACAGGCACAGTACTTGACGCGTACACCATGTACACGCAGTCAGGTTTTGTGGAGAAATTTGAACCCACGTACATCGAAGTACAGGGTCGCTCGGAAAAAGGCTGGGGGAGATACGCACGTTCATACAAAAAGTCGTATACCCCCCCTCTCCATACCACGTCCACGTCTCCCGTTTCCTCTGCTCCCGTTTTCACCCCGTATACGGATCATCATGACAACCGACCAAAAACTCCTTACGTGGACGTAGACGCAGCGCTTTGTACCATGGTGTGATGACAGCCTAAGGTGCATGCTCGGCATCAGATCTACCAACGCGTGGTAGCCGCGTGCTGTGCACGTGCACGGCAGACATTGTGATGCAGTGCATGCAGTCCGTTTTCGGATGTGCATGCGCGAGGAACTACTAGTATACTTCCTTCTTTGGAACTGCTTCTTGCATGAGCTGTTTCGGATATTTCGTGTCCTGGCTTATTTCGCTTCGGCTCTGCTGAGACCTCCTTTCACGGAATATTACTCAATGACAGGTGAGTTGACCAGTTCCCTTTGATTTATTTGCTTGTGTTGACTCTTTCATTTACGAGAAGTGTGCTGATTTTAGGTGGAATACTATAAATAATGGAAAAACTGACAGGATCTCTTTTCTAAATTTAGCTTTTCTGCTGTCGAGGCCTCCTTTTACGGAATACTCAATGACAGGTGATCTCTGAGTTGACCAGTTTCCTTCGATTCATTTGCTTATGTTCGCCCTTTCACTCAGTTTCAGGGGGAAACGTGTGCTGACTTTATTCGGATTTAGATCCGTTCGTATCTCTTTGCCCTTGCCAACAGTGTGCGAAGAACGCGAGTTCACCTTCTTGACGGTAAGGCTTATGTTGCTGCTGAGGCTTAGATGTGTTGTCGAAATAGTCATGTTAATTGTGCATTGGTACGTTACAAGTAAGGCACTGGTCATGATTGCTTCCGGCATTCCGTGCTCCGATCATAGGGTAGAATCTGAATTTTGCAGTGACATAGCATCGTTGGCAGTTCCCCACCTGGAGGGAAAGGTTCAAGGACGCATTGGCCGAGTATGCAGAATAAATTCGCATATCAGGGAAAATCTCCATTATGGAGAGGTTCATTCATTCAGTGACTTGTTTGCTTCATACGAAACAAGCCAATGGGTGCAGTCTCGTCTCGTGAAAATCTCGTACGATTGGATTTGCTTACTCGAATGTGTGCTGGTTGATTTGTGGGTAGCGCCGAGATTACACTACCCCAAATAAAGTTGCGTGCCGGCAAAACAAGAATTAAGATCTGCAATCTGTTTGTAATACCTGCAAGAATGTGCTGTACACGTGTCGTATTTTCTCTGTTGTTGTTTCAGTTGCCGTTATGTTGCTAAAGAAAGGTTCAGTTACTCATTGTTTCATACAAGACGAGTCAATGGTTTGGTCTGGCTTAGAATCTTTCGCTGTAGAAGAAATCTATTCGTGTCTCTATTGGAGAAATAATTGTATTCACTCGTTATAAAAATAATAATTATAGTTAATTAAGACAAACTCACAGAACAAATACCATCGGTCCCTTGATGTTCGTCCTAAAGAGGTTTGACTGGATATCATTCATATCCCAAAGTCGTGTAACATTTTATTTAGAAAAGCGATCCTGTCAGCCTTTCTATTATTGTGTTCATATGGCAAGAAAAACGACATCGCTATGCTACGTAAGTTTCTACGTAAGGTGCTCGGTTTTTCACTTAGGCCACGTAAGTCTCTACGTAAGGTGCTGGGTATTAGATCTACCAACGGGCGGTAGCCGCGTGCTGTGCACGTGCGCGGCAGACATTGTGATGCAGTGCAGTCCGTGTTCGGATGTGCATGCGCGAGGAACTTCCTCCTTTGGAACTGCTTCTTGTATGAGCTGTTTCGGATATTTCGTCTCCTGGCCTGGCTTATTTCGTTTCGGCGCTTCTGAGACATCCTTTCGCGGAATATTACTCAATGACAGGTGAGTTGACCAGTTCCCTTTGATTCATTTGCTTGTGTTGACTCTTTCATTTACGAAAAGTGTGCTGATTTTGGGCGGAATGCAATAAATAATGGGAAAGCTGACAGGATCTCTTTTCTAAATTTAGCTTTTCCGCTGCCGAGGCCTCCTTTTACGGAATACTCGATGACAGGTGATCTCTGAGTTGACCGGTTTCCTTCGATTCATTTGCTTATGCTCACCCTTTCATTTACGGAAACGTGTGCTGATTTTATTCGGATTTAGATCCATTTTTATCTCTTTGCCCTTGTCTACAGTGTGCGAAGAACGCGAGTTCACCTTCTCGACGGTAAGGCTTATGTTAGATGTGTTGTCGAAATACTTATATTCATTGTACATTGGTACGTTACAAGTAAGGCACTGGTCAGTGGCATACTATCGTTGGCAGCTCCCAATCTGGAGGGAAAGGTTCAAGGACCCATTGACCGAGTTTGCAAAATAAATTCGCATATCTACATCTACTGTTCTTTCAATCAAATGAACCCCTCGATAGGCACATTGCCTTTGGGTCATTTCATAATAATAATTTAAAAAAACATATGATATCAGGGAAAATCTCCATTGTGGAGAGGTTCAGTAAACTTGTTTGCTTCATACGAAGCAAGCCAATGAGTGCAGTCTCGTGAAGATCTCGTACTTGTATAATTGGATTTGTTTACTCGAGTCTGGGCTGTTTTGATTTATTATTTGTGAGTACCGCCGAGATTGCACTGCCCCAAATAAAGTTTCGTGCCACCAAAGCAAGAATTACGATCTGCAATCTGTTTGTAGTGCCTGCAAGAATGTGCTGTACATGTATCGTACTTTCTCTGTTGCTGTTTCAGTTGCCGTCATGTTGCCGTCATGTTGCCGTCATGTTGCCGTCATGTTGCCGTCATGTTGCTAAAGAAACGTTCAGTAGAGAGGTTCTGCAAAACGAAAATTCGAACGAAGTTTCGCGACAGTCCTTGCGAAAGTGTGTACGAAATTTTGCACAAACTTTGCGTTCTGCACATATCCGTAGTTTGCGCGGGCCAAGTGCCCGTACGCCATGACCCGATCTAACGAAAGTGTGTACGACAGTTTATTTCGCGTTCTCTGCAAGTTTCGCGTCCAAAGTCGCGAAAGTTCGTGCGAAGTTTCGCACTTCATGACGTAGAACGATTGTTGGTACGCAATTTCGTTTTCCAGAACCTCTCTAGTGACTCATTTGTTTCATACGAGACGAGTCAATGAGTTGTTGTGGCTTAGAATCTTTCGCTGTAGAAGAAATCTATTCGTCTTTCTTTTGGGGAAATAATTGTATTCACTGATTATAAAATAGGTTAAGACAAACTCACA